TATGTGATCTACTCCCTCGCCTTTTCATCTCTTGTGTGTCTTGTCGCTGACTAGCCGCTCAGAGGGCCTCCTGACTTGTGTGTTGGCTGTCATGGTATGTCTGCCCGCGTTTCTTCCCCCGCTTTCTCCCTTCCGAGGTATGGTGATTCGAAATGATTCCCCCCACTGACCCCATGTTGTTACAGGCATTCCTCTGGCTCCCCGCCTCCCCGACGAATACTACGACGGTCCTCTGGAGAAAGCCGTGGTACACAGAGAGACAGGAGGTCATCATGATCAACCGCATCCTCCGCGACGACCCCGCAAAGGGCCTCACTGCGCTGAAGGAGCCCATGACATTCAAGGACATCAAGAACGCATGGCTCGACCCCTCCATGTGGGGCCTGTACCTCATCGGCCTCGTCGCCTACATTCCGGCCACGCCCGTCCAGGCGTATTTGACGCTCACCCTCCGCCGCCTGGGTTTCACGACGTTCAACGCCAACATGCTCACGGTGCCCTCGGCCGTGCTGCAAATCATTACGATGCTCACGTTGGCCTTTAGCAGCGACTACTTCAAGGAGCGAGCGTTCCACTGCATCTTTGGCGAGCTCTGGATCATGCCCCTGCTCATCACCCTCCTCACGCTGCCCGACGGTGGACGCGAATGGAGCCGATTTTCGGTTATTACGCTCATCTCTGGCTACCCTTACTTCCACCCAATCGTTTCATCGTGGATCTCGGAGAACACGTTCGACGTCAAGAAGCGCGCCATCTCGGCAGCGACGTACAACGTCATTGTGCAGATCGGGTCCCTCGCTGGATCCCAAATCTACCGCGCCTACGATGCGCCGTACTACAAGCGCGGCAACACGGTCTGCGTGTCGATTTGCGCTTTTAGTCTCGTTGTGTTCCTGGTCCACCGTCAAGTTCTTGTGCTGCTGAACAAGCGCAAGGCGCGGGTGTGGGACGCCATGTCTAACGAGGAGCGGCTGGCGTACCAGAGTGATGCGGCGGCGCGCGAGCAGGACGGAAACAAGCGTCTGGATTTCAGATTTGTGTACTAGGAGGGTAATCATGCCATATGCATTGTATGCGTCTATGCATGAGTATAGCTCGAGGACAATGTTTAAAAACTTGATGGGCGATATAAGTTTGGATACCAGTCCATGAAAAGGACAAGATTATGATTATAATAAAGATGGTAGAGACCAAAATGACGAGAACAAGGTACTACCATGCATGCGCTAGGAGGCATTGTAATTTTCTTCAACTAATCAAATTACATTATACGCAATATGTCCGCATTGTACTCCCAATCAGGTCAATTGATAATTATAACATCGTGCTACCTAGTGTTCTTCGTAGAAAGATGCATATTCTCGTTCGTTTTGTTCGCTTGAATTTCGAGATACCCCTCTACGTACCTACACTTAGGTAATAATGGATGAGCGCTGATTGGCCCCGTGTGACATCCCGGGCTGGACCAAATCGCTGGGAGGTCGGCGGCCCGGACAGCGGTCAAGGACATTACCGCAGTGAGAGGCCGAATTTGCGGGGAAATACAGCGCCAAGGTCCCTTAACGGGCGCCACCTGTCGACCCCAAGCCCCCCTCAAGCGGACTGAAGCGTGTCAAGCTGCAGGGAGGCAGGCACGGCGGAAGGTCCACAGCTCCCCTGATCGGCTTAGCGCAGCGAGCACACCATCGGTCGTCGACTCCACCCTGCGCATCTCAGACGTCCGCAGATGCTCCCCCATCCCCATTTTTCTTGGTCCAACCTTTCCGTGCCTCTCTCAGTAACCTCGAGACGTGTAGGCGCCGGTGACAGCTTTCTCTCTGCCTCGATTCGAATCAAGCAAGGAACGCCAGTTTTTTACTCAGACTATGCCAGAGTCGCCTGACCCTCGCAGCCTTGCTTTGTAATACCTGCGGATAGCCTCACTCGTACCTCATACCCTTACGTGCTTGTCACCTCGCTTACCCACTTACGCCCCTACGAACTACGGATACACGGTCTTGGTCAAGCCCAGCCTGCCGGGAACCTGGGGACCCGTTTCTTCTGGTGCAAGTGACAGACTTCACAACACCCGCCCTCACACAACTTGCATACATCCACGACTTTGACGTATTACCTGGCGAATCCCCAAAAAGAAAGTCAGTCCACGGCAGGTGCGAGCTGCCATGACACGGCACAAGTAGGATAGCAGGGCCGACGTTGTTCTCCCCCCCCCCCCCCCCTTTCCGTCCTCTCTCCGTCTCTTTCGCAGAGACAATGTCATCCGGGCGCAAGATTGGCAAAAGAGCTTGTGACGCCTGCAAGATCCGCAAGATCAAATGCACAGAGGTCCCGCCCTGTGATGGCTGCGTCGCCATCGGGACATCATGCACCTTCAACAAGGTCCCTGCCACTAGGGGCCCACGGAACCTGAGGGCGAAGACGATACGCCAGATTGCCCAGGCCCAGAAGGAGGGCTCTGCTGCTGCTAGAACTGCTGGTGCTTCTGCTTCTTCTTCTGCCCCCGCTGGCACCACCGGTGCCGCCGGTTCTGCATCCTCCGTCTCACCTACCGGTGATGGGGCTTCCGCTTCAACCCCGGTTGTTGCCGCCGCCTCTTCGGGCGTTCCGTCCTCATCCCGGTCCCCATCGTCCTCCGAGGGAGGATCATCCGAGGCCACTGGGAGCGCCGTGAGTGGACAACGACTCGACCGACACGACAATGCCCTCCAGCCGCAAAGGACGCCCAGCGCATCACTGGTTTTGAGGTTGTGTATCTACCGCCTGCGTCTCTTCCCCGTCTGGCCCATCATTGCAGTCGAAGACATCATGGCCTCGCTGTCCCGCGATGCTGACGACCTCGAATCATACGTCTTGGCCAACGCCGTGGGAGCTGCCACCATTGCCCAGCTCAAGTTGGCCACGACTGACAACGACGACCCGGCGACGGCAGGTTCGATGGAGGCCGAGTGCCAGCGGTCGAGAATGGTGCTCCAGGAACGCGACGGAGGCCCGCCTATGAACCTCAACTGGTTGAGGACGTCCTTCTTCCTCCACGTCTATCACGAGAACCAGCAGCCCGGAGGGGCCAAGTCGCTTCTCTACCTCCGAGAGGCCATCACCATTGCTCAAATCATGGGATTGCACAAGGAGTCGTCGTACGTGGCTCTGCCCTTGGCGGAGCAGCAGATGCGGAGGAGGACACTTTGGCTACTATTTGTCACGGAAAGGTTTGTTCTACCCCTGAAGATTCTCCATCGGGCTGCTTTCTGACAAAAATGGCAGAGGCGTGGCCATGCTTCACAAGCTACCTGTGGCGCTCAAGTCCAACACCCGTTTTCCGTCCTTAGATGGTTCGGGGGTTGGCGAGGATGAAGGCCACATTCTACCTGCATTCAAAAAGTTAGCCGACCTCTTCTGGATATTCGATCAGAGCGGCGCCTTTGACATCCTCCAGAACTCAGACGACGAGGACGCCCTGTGGTCCATGGCGGACGGCCTGCAAACGGCTAGTAGAGCGTGTCTCGATGTCGTGCAGCAGAAACTACAGCAAATTCCCCTGGACTCTGATGCCAGCAACGATGTCCAGCGAGCTGACATCGTTGTGACGCGTCAATGGATGCAGGCCGTGTTGTGGAAAGTCACTATGAACCATGGCCGCGCTTGGTCTTCCAACAGCAATAACAACACTGTCACCTCGTTATCTCACCCCATCCAGATCGCCAAGGAGTTTCTCCAGTTGATTTCACAACTTCCCAGTACGGCCATTGAAGCCCATGGCCCCGGAATCGTAAGGCCCCATACCGGAAAAATATACATATAGAGGTATATATATCGTTTTTCCCTTTACTAATTTGACTACCAGGAGTTCAAAATCTACGAGATTGCCAGCGCAGTGACGGATGCCGTGGCGAACAACTTTCGTCTTCCTCGCACCTCCACCGACGGCCCAAGAGACATTCTCCTCCAGCTGCAGCGGGTCCTTGCGTCGTGTCGCGGCGGCAATAAAGCCCTCTTGGAGATGCTCTGCGCCCGCATAGCCGAGGTCCAGGACGGCCCGCTGCTGATCATGAACAGGAGCCCGACGTCGAGGATCCAGGAGGTCGACGATGACCAGTGGCGGGATGACGGGAATCATGCTGCTGCTGCTGCGGCGGCGGCGGCGGCAAACGGCCAGGCAGACATGTTTGCACCCATCAACGGCGTATCTCAGACCTATGGACAACCATCTCACTCCAACTTTTCACCAATGTTTGATAAAGATGGTACCTCCGCGCAGGGCATGACCAACGGCAACACAGTACCTCTGTCACCTCAGCGGCAGGGCATCGGCAGAACTCCCGTCTGGGATCAATCCACCAGCCAGATGGGGTCCGGCGCCCCCCATGACCTAATTGATCAGCTGCAGCACTTTGACGGCTCCTTCAACACCGTCGAGTCCAACGGCACGCTCGATATGCTCTTTGCCAATGGGGCGTTGTGGGACAACGTCGCAAACGACGATTGGATGGCGTCGGTGCAGGGGAATCCGGGCGTGTTCAACAGCCCGACGCAGTCTCCGGCCAATTTGCAGAGGACGTATGAGTAGCAAACTACCGTTCTGGGCTGTTTTATGATTTGTGGCCGTTGAGGATGCTTGTGGGTCAGAAGAAATCGTTTACGAGCCGTAAGAGTTGATGGTATATATGGGCAAGCACTCGACTTGAAGTGACACAAATGCCTACGTCTTAGCCAAGACTGAAGCACGAACTCTGGCGTTCAGGCGTCAAAGGAGAGAATCATGAGCGTGGTTTCCGAATCTCTAGGTAAGCTGTCATCCTCATTTGGCCTCTCCATCATCTGGATCTATCTCTGACTACCCACCAGATCAAAAGCCGTGACATGATGATAAGCAGTCTCAAAAAGGCACAAGTATGTCTGTAAGGAGAACGCAAAAATAGTAAACGCAAAAATAGTACTCCAGATTTTTGTCTACATTCTATAAGTTAGTTTTTATACCCAACCGCTTCCAACAAACCAAAATACTAGGCCAGAAGCACAACCGCTCCCTCGTACGGTCCAAACTCGACCTTGCCCCCACTGAAATCTTCCGCCGTCTTGCCGCCGTTGGAAACAAGCACCTCCTTGACGCTCTCCGCCTTCAGTCCCTCCCAACTTACCGTCCCGCTCGAAAAGTTGCACGCCACGACCGCCACGGCGCCGTCCTCGGCCCGCCGCGCGTACGCCACGATCTTCTCGTTCTTCTCGTCCACGAGGGCGAAGTCGCCGTAGACAAAGATGTCGAGGTACCGCTTGCGCGTCGCGAGGACCGTCTTCCAGAAGTTGAAGACGGAGGCCGGGTCCGAGACCTGCGCGGCGACGTTGATTTCCGTGTGGTTCGGGTGCACCGTCATCCATGGGGTTGCCTGGGGTGTCGTGAAGCCTGCGTTGGGGGCGGCGGTCCACTGCATTGGTGTGCGGGCGTTGTCGCGGGATTTCTTCTGGTATTGGGATTTGAGGAATTTGAGGTATTCCTTGTCTTTGGAGTCCTTGTGCAAGCTGGTTACGGGGGAGATTGTCAGCATTGCATCATTCTTTGCGCAGCCTAAAATTTATGACCGTATACTCACTTCCAGTGGTTCAGGCAGTCAATGTCCTTGTACTCCTCCATCGGCCACTCCTTGGGCACGTTGACCATGCCAATCTCCTGGCCCTGGTAAACAAAGGGCGTGCCGGCCTGGAGGGCCTGGAACATGGCGACGGCTTTTGCGCTGTCGACGCGGTGCTGCGGCGCGTCGTTTGCGAAGCGGCTGACGGAGCGCGGCTGGTCGTGGTTCTCGAGGTACAGCGCGTTCCAGCCGTCGTGGTCGTACATGAAGCGCTGCCACTTGTTGGCGATGCCCTTGAGCTCCGCGAGGTCCCATTCTTTGGCGGAGAATTTGCCGTGGGGGCCGATGTCGATGTCGACGCTGGAAGGGGGGAGGAGATGCTTGTTAGTTGTCCTGCCGATAGTGGATGGGCAAAATAGGGGTAAAAGGCGGGTTGGATACTCACAATTCAAAATGGAAAATCATGCTCAGCTCCCCGCGATCGCCGTTCACGCTCTTGATCACCTCGTTCAGGTCCCTCACGCAGGGCATCTCCCCGACGCTGAAGGCGTCGTACTCGTGCAGGATGGCGCCCAGCTCCTTGAGGTACTCGTGCAGCCTGGGCCCGGCCGAGTAGAGCTCGGAACCGGGCAGGACCTCTTGCTTGGAGTCGGGGAAGTCCTGGGGCTTGCTGACGAAGTTGATGACGTCGAGGCGGAAGCCGTCGGCGCCCTTGTCGAGCCAGAAGCGCATGATGTCGTGGACGGCGGCGCGGACTTTGGGGTTCTCCCAGTTGAGGTCGGGTTGTTGGCGGGCGAAGAGGCGCAGGTAGTATTCGTCTGTTGCTTCGTCGTATTCCCACGCGCTGCCTGTATGTAGACATCCGATGTTAGTTGAATTTTCCCGTCATCATCGAGTAGGCGGGTTCAACAAGCTTTCCAGAGCCTTGAGGAAGTATGGGATGGCCTGAGAGAACTAACCCTGGAAATGGGAGGCCCAGTTGTTGGGAGGCTGGCGGTTGCCCTGGGCGTCGTACTTTGGCTTGCGCCAGATGTACCAGTCGCGGTAGGGGCTGTTCTTTGAGCTGCGCGACTGCTTGAACCACTCGTGCTGGTCGCTGGTGTGGTTGACGACAAGGTCGAGGACGAGCTTCATGCCGCGCTCGTGGAGCTTGTCCTTGAGGGTGTCGACGTCGGCGACGGTGCCGTAGGGCTCGTGGATCTTTTTGTAGTTGCTAATGTCGTAGCCCTGGTGCACGTTTTGTTGGTCAGTTCATCCGTCCGAGTTTATGAAATGTCTTTTCAAGAGTACGGCCTGCCAGAAACTCACCATGTCGATCTGGGGACTCTCAAAGATGGGGCACAACCACACGATGTCGACGCCGAGGGACTTGAAGTGGTCGACGCGGTCGATGATGCCCTTGAGGTCGCCCACGCCCGAGCCGGTCGAGTCCTGGAACGAGGCCGGGTAGACTTGGTATACGGAGCTCTCCTTCCACCACTTGCGAAGCTGTCTCTTGGGGGGACGCCCGCCCGCGCTCTCCGCGACGACATAGCGTGCCATTGTGGGCGAAAACTTGTGTGTATTGTAGGTTTTACGGTGAGAAGTAGTGTGGAATTGTTAGATAATTCGGAGCTTTCGAGAGTAGAAAGCTGTGATGCCGGTTCGGGGTCGTTTGCGTAGCTGTTTTGGAATACACGCAATGCGGCAACGGACTTTGAGAAACGGACAGCGTCTGGTAATATAAAAACAAAGAGGTCTACGTCTTATACAATTTGAAAGAGCTGCAAAGACAAGAGCGAGCAGAGACTCCTTTAAGAGATTCAAAGTTCAGGCTCTCCGGTAAGAGGGCGGGGGGTTGGTTAGCGGTTTGGTAATAGGAGCTTGGTCCGTTGGCGGGGGAGGAGGGCTTTGCAAAGAGTTTCTGCGAGTAAAGACTGGTCGCGGTGACCAATTGGAAGAATTTGGAGATGGGAAAGTGTTGGCTTGGACGAAGCTGAGTAAGGCGGACAAGCCAATGTTCAGCCAAACACGAGACACAAAAAGACGGCGCGTGGGCTGATTGTACTTGGTAAGGTAGTAGGGAAGAGATGATCGGCGGGTTGTTGCAGCCAACTTTCAGGTACTTGGGATCCCTTTTGCGTGGGGAATGGGTTGATAATTACCGACCCGACACTTGGGGACCACGGGAGAATTCGAGCGAGAAAAGCGAGCGAGAAAGGGACGAATGACGAGAGGGAATGGGCTTTCTGGAGACTCTCTCTCACTTCCCCCGTCGGGTCTTCCCCGAATCGGAGGTTGAATGCAGCTGCCCCTCCATCGAACCCGTCTCCGTCATGCGGGGTAACTTTCTGGCTGCCCCAAGGGCTGGGCTATATGCTCTGCACAGTAAAGTTGCGGAGGTTCCGCCCGGTTTGCAGGTACCTCGACTTATACTTGTATACGGGTGAGACGTATGTACATGTTTGAGCATAAAGGCACCTATTGAGCAGACGTTCCCTTACGTTACTACCTTACCTATTCAAGAAACAAGAAAACATGTAAGAGTATGATGATCTCTCAAGCAGGTACAGCCGCAGACGCGCGGGGGATGTTCAGGAAGCAGTTTGCATTAATGCCGTTACGTTGTGTCGTGTTGCAGGTTGAGAAGATCAACCCTCCCATTGTGTAACTACTGCGCCTGCGTTGAAAGCAAAGAGGTGTGGTGTGGTAGTGCTGGGTTCCTCCCGAGTGGTGGATGGATGTGTGTGTGTTACCCAGTGCCCCGCCGGCGGTGCTGGCCCACCGTCCACACGAGCAGCCCCCGACCCCGTCCCCGAGATTTTTGCCGGGTCCACCGATTCTACAGGGGTTCATTCGGGACCCGGAGCCTTAGGATCTTAGAGGGAATAGGCCGGACTTGCGGATGCTTCACAAAGACCAGCAACTTGTAGTTCACGGAGAGCACGCCGATAATATGTAGAATGATGCAGAGTGCTCTATATCATTGTTCATGCATTTTCTCTCTTGTAAGTGGCATGAAATGGCAACACTGACGGCTCATAAACATCATATCCAGTACTTCGAACTACGTCAAATGGTGGTCAGATGGCTTTGTCGTATCGGAATATTCTTGTGACAAAGTGAGTATTAGCTGGACCAATTTGATAGTAGTAGGTAGGCTCTTGTAAGCCTTCGACGTTCATCTATGAATATCCCAATCTGCCAAAAGCTAGTATATCAACGAGAGCTCGGCACCATCGGCAGTCACGGCAAGCACAAGCCTGTTGCCATTTCGACAAAGCTCTTCTCCAACTCTCAGCGGGATCATGAATTATTACACACTCCTGGCCCCGTCTTCCAGGGCCCGGAATTCTCATCGCGACGGAGGCTACTCCCGGAGCCGGGCTGGGCTGGCCCGTCAGACTGCCACAACCGCCTCCAACTTCTCTAGCGATGTTGATGGTGGTACAACTTGCTCTATTCAGCAGTCATTCAAGCGGACATCTCGATGGTCACCGCGGTGCAGCCTCCACATCAGACACCTCAGAGACCAAAAGAGAAGCGCCATAAGCCGAAACAGCCATCGAGTCCCCCCCAAAGCGTGTCTAGTACATATCTACCGGTCCGGCTTTCGACCGCGAGAAGTACGGAAAGCCGGCCTACCTGAGTGCCTAGATAACTCCCCTCTGGTGGTTGGCCCTGCCGCGACCCGTTTATATGTATGTACCTACTTACTTATAGGATATGCATGATGGTAATCCTTCGGGGACCAACATGCGGTTTGGTCCTTTACCCAGCTGCAGCCAGCCGCACCGCGCCGCTGCGAGGTGGACCATTGGTCAATGCCAGTCGGATTCCCACTACTTTAGCTGCTAGCATGACGTGGGTGGGGTGGTTATGGAGGGGTAAAAAAGAAACATCACTTTCCGATAATATCTCCGCAGAGAGGGAGGAGGGGTGCGGGGCAAGCTCTTTTGGAGCTTTCCCATGTTGCGCGAGAGCGAAGACGGAGGGGTAAAATCATTAGCAGGCAGTGTGAAGCGCAGGAAAAAAAAAAAGTAGACGAGAGTGAATGTAAACATACCATCTTACATCCTTTTTCGCATACTTGCCACTTCCCTACGCTTCGAGAGACGACGCCCGACGCCGAGATACCTAGATTACCCCTGATCACCAACCCGACAGACCGAGTAGAACAAGACACAATGGCGTGGGAAGAGCCTAGAAAGACGGGCATGCAGTACCGCCGCCTGGGTAACTCGGGACTTCACGTCTCGGTGCTGGGGTTGGGCGGTTGGTTGACGTACGTTTCTCCTACCTATTTCCTCACGCGAAATTGCAAAGTGCTTTGTAGGACCATCGTGCTGACTTTGGTGAACACAACAGGTTCGGCGGCCACGTTGAGAATGGTATGTACGGGACGGGGACTCAAGCGAATCTTCTGTAAGACTCGTGTGTTTTGGCAGCGTCACTGACGGTTACGACGCGCTGCAGAACAGACGTTTGCGTGTATGAAGCAGGCTTACGACCTTGGCGTCAACTTTTTCGATACAGCTGAGAGGTGAGTCTCCCCAGAACTTCTCCCGTGCGATACCATGCGGTTGCGGCCGAGTGAAGCGAAGATGAAGTAGCTAACCACAAGCCGCTCCATACAGCTATGCGGGCGGAAACTCGGAGATCATCATGGGCCAGGCCATCAAGAAGTTCAACTGGAACCGTAACGACCTCGTCGTCACAACAAAGGTGAGTCTTGCACCACGGAACTCCGCAGAAGCAACGACAGCGCGCAGTTGAACCACGAGTTGTTCTGACCTATCGCGCGCACTTTACAGCTCAACTGGGGCGGCGCCAACGGCGAAGTCCTCGTCAACAACCACGGCCTCTCGCGCAAGCACATCATCGAGGGCCTCCGCGCCTCCCTCAAGCGCCTCGACCTCGAGTACGTCGACATCGTCTACGCCCACCGACCGGACCGCCTGACGCCCATGGAGGAGACGGTCCGCGCCTTCAACCACGTCATCGACAAGGGCTACGCCATGTACTGGGGCACGTCAGAGTGGAGCGCCGACGAGATCGCCGAGGCCTGCGGCATCGCGAAAGACCTCAGGATGATTGCGCCCGTCGTCGAGCAGCCGCAGTACAACATCCTCGAGCGCCGCAAGGTCGAGTACGAGTTCCAGCGGCTGTACCAGCGCTTCGGCCTCGGCCTGACCGTCTTCAGCCCCATCAAGATGGGCCTGCTGAGCGGCAAGTACAACGACGACCCCGACGCGCCGCCGGCCGGGAGCCGGTTTGCGGAGGGCAAGGGGGATAAGTTTGTCAACTGGGCCAACAAGGAGTGGTACGGTAACGACGAGTGGAAGGCACTGATTCAGAATGTCGTCAAGCTCAAGGTAAGTTTCCTATTGTTGTTGCTGTCGTTTGGTACTCCCCCGCGCGTCTGCCGCTGGCGCCGCCGGCAACACTCGCGACTCGGGACGAAGGAGATCATGATGGCTGACCGGGACATGTGTGTGTGTGTGATTAGGGTATTGCGGAGAAGCTCGGTGCAACGCAGTCACAGCTGGCCCTGGCGTGGTGCCTCAAGAACCCCAACGTTACCTCCGTGATCACCGGAGCCTCACGGCCGGAGCAAATCGTGGAGAATGTGGGCGCATTGAAGGTTCTGGAGAAGCTGACGCCCGAGATCATGGCCGAGGTCGATGCCATTGTGGGAGAGGTTAAGTTGGACCCGGCAAGACAAGATTAGAGAATGGCGTGTTTTTTTCTGGAAAATTTGTGTTTCTGTTACGTCCTGTTGGGTGGCGTGGATTTTAATTACTGGGCATAACCATATCTGGGGAAAAGAACGAGAGGTCCGGTACAACAAAAATGAACAAACACCATCTTGTTACCAGCTCGACCCATGAGGGGCCGCGTCTAGGCCCCATGTGAAGGAGCGTTGGCCTCGCTCTTTTACTCGCTCGAGGCCGTTTCACGGGACCCTCGTGATAACCACTTGTTCAGAGGAACTACCTTCTAGAAGCTGTGGACAATGCTCTCGAGTCAATTAAGATGTGGCGAGTTGGCCTGATGCGGCCAAACAAACATGCCGCCTCCGCTTCAGTTTGCGAGCTTGTGCTCCAGAGTGGTGGTTGCCAAACGATGGGATGGGATGACCGGAAAGCTGCTCCGAAGGCAACATTGTCCAGACGGGAATGAGAGATACTTTAGAAACAAAGGACAGTTGCAACCCCTGAGGCGGGAGTAAGGCTATTCCGCACCCACGCGAAAGCTATCCCGCACCTATACTAGGCTATATTTAGTAAAAACTAGGGTAGCATAGCCTTAATATAAATTTTAATAGCGATACTACTATAAAAATTACTACGTTAATAATTATAAGTTTATAATTACTTAATATATAATTATTTACCGAATTAACTATTATAATATTAAAATTACTATTATTACTTACTTAGGCTCGGGCTAGGCTAATTTTACTAGCTACCCCCCTACTACTTATTATATTATTAGCTTAATTATTTTAATTACGGCTATAGTAGAGGTATTAACGAGGCTACGAAGTAGTAGTATTATTA